TCGTCCTCCCTGGACCGACCTATCCCCTCCCTAACTCCCCACCTACACTCACCTTTACTGGCTCCAACCCCGCCTCCTTGACCTGTCTGTCTCCTCTCCACCTACCTTCTCCTTTATCCATCTTCTATCCGCCTCCCCCTCTCCCTCTCCCTATTTATTTCAGAATCCTCTTCCCCTCTCCCATTTCTGAAGAACGTCTAGACCCAAAACATCAGCTTTCCTGCTCCTCTGATGCCAATCTGACCTAGTCCCTTTTGCCAGCATTTGGCCCGTATCCCTGTAAACCCTTCTTTTTCATGTACCCATCCAGCTGCCTTTTCAATATTTTAATTGCACCCGCTTCCACCAATTCCTCTGGCAGCTTGCTTCACAGAAAAACACCACCCTCTGTGTGAAATAGTTACCCCTCAGGTGCTTTTTAAATCTCGGGTAATCACTAATTCAGATGTGGCGTTTTACATTTATGAAACTTTTATTATCCCTGTGCCCAGAAAACCCAATTTCAAAATACATCGCTTTAATATCTACCTTCATTTGTGCTAGCTGTTGTTGTTGCTGCTGCTGCTGTAAACGTCTCAGTGCTTCTTGCTGCTGTTGTCTTTGTCGTATGGACTCTTGTTTCTGCAGCTCTTTATGACGTTCTATATCTTTGCGTTTCTGTTCCTCCTCTTCTACTCGAAGTCGATTCTTCTCCTCCTCCATTCGTAGGCGGTTATCCTCTTCCAGTCGCCGCCGAGTTTCTTCCTTCTCCATCACCCATCGTGCTGCCTCTTCTTCTTTGCGTCGCCGCTCCTCTTCCTTTAACAGGAGCAGAACATGAATGCTAAATTAAGTCTTATATACCTTTGCAAGCATTTCTGTGCATGGAAAAGTAAACATGAGAAATCTTAATGATGGAATATGTGTTACCAGCTTGGTACACTGATCACGCTTCATTTAGCAGCAATGTAGTGAAAATATCATTGGGCTATTAATCAGAGGCTTAGGATAATGCTCCGGGGACATGAATGAACACAGTTCTGATGAACAATGACACCATCCAGGACAAAGCAGCCAACTTGATTGGCACCCCGTCCACCACTTCACTCCCTTCACCACTAATGCGCAATGGCAGCATGTGTACCATCTAACAAATGCACTGCAGTATCTCACCAAGACTCTTCCAGAGCACATTCCAAACCCATAAACTACCATTTTGAAGGACAAGAGCAGTAGATGCATGCGAACACCACATACAAGTTTGCCTCCAAACCATACAAAATCTTGACTTCATACTATATCGCTGGTCCTTCACTGTCACTGGATTCAAAACCTGGAATTTCATACCAAACAGTACTTTGGGTTTCCTGACATTGCAACCACACCAGTGGGTGTGGTTCAAGAAGGCAACTCACCACCATCTTCAAATGCAATGAAAGGCTAGCACAGCCATCAACATCCACATTCCACGAACAAGTCAATAAAAAAGATCCACAGTAACGTAGCTGACTCTTAAATGCCTTCTAAAATACAGGAGCAAGCCACTCGGTTCGAGGGCAATTATGGATGGGCCACATATGCTGGCTTTGTCAGCAATACCCACTTCCAAAAGAATAAAAAATACAATGAAAATTCCAATGTAAATTATTAAAGCTCAGAAACAGATGTGAAGTTTTGAATCAATGTACAATTTAGAACGATACACAGTGAAGGAAGTGAAAGTGGTGGATGGGATGCCAATCAAGTTGGCTGCTGTGTCATGGACGGTATCATTCTTCTTCAGTATTGTTAGAACGGAGTTCGTTCGTGTCCCCAAGATTAAGCCTCTGATTAACAGCCCAATGACATTTCCACCATGTTGCTGCTAGGGGCAGCACGGTGGCTCAGTAGTTCATATTACCGCCTGACAGTACCAGGAAACCGGTTTTGATTCCAGCCTTGGGCGACTGTATGTGGAGTTTGCACATTCTCCTCATGTCTGCATGGGTTTCCTCCGGGTGCTCTGGTTTCCTCCCACAGTCCAAATATGCGCTGGTTAGGTGGACTGGCCATGCTAAATTGTCCAGTGTCCAGGGGTCCATGGGAAACATAGGGATAGGATTGCGGGGGGTTGGGGGGTGACTGCATGGAATGCTCTTTGGCAAGTCGGTGCGGACTTGATGGTCTGAATGGCCTGTTTCCACACTGTAGGGATTCTATGAAATAAATGCAGCACAGTGTACCAAGCTGGTATATTGGTATATGATAATGTTGGCTCAAAGACAGCACCACTCTTTGAACCAAAAGCCAAGAGTGCAAGTTTCATGAAAACGTTATAATCTACTGCAGTAGAGATAGAATGCTACGTTGCCAGAGGCACAAATTCTCAAGCAGAATGTTACATTTGCCTTCTCAGGAGGACATGAAGTAATCTGTAGTAGCATTCAAAAAAGAAAAGAACAAGTTTTCAGTGTTGTGGCCTGTATCCATCGTCATTATTAAAATTGATGGATCTGATATAGTCAGTGATGTAAGTGAATATCTGCTGTAGTACTACCAGAACTGCTAAATGACCCAAGACGATATTAGTAACAACTTCAGAGCCCTGCTGACTGCAATTTAACTAAGCTTTGCTGTAGTTTCTTACGTTGTCATATTTTTGATATTCTCAACACATAAACAGATGCACTTTCAACTCCTCAGCAAATATTTAAGCACTTTAAATTCCAGTGAACTGAAACGAAATCACCTAGTCTCACCTTGGAATTACAAGCTACAAAAAGTTCCTCCCCTAATTTATTTAAATTTTGAAAATTCTGTTAACAGCTTTTGAAACAAGACGTTTCACATTTTGATCTCATGCAGGTACCTGTTTTCGAAGGATTTCTTCCCTTTGACGTCTTTCCTCTTCTTCTCTCTGTCTTTCTTCATGCCGGCGGGCTTCTTCCTGTTGTCGCTCTTCCTCTTCCTTTTGCCGTCGAAGTGCTGCTTCATGCTCTCTTTGGCGCTGTAATGCTTCTTCCTAAGACAGGCAAATATATAAAATGTTTTTGACATCGAGATCATATCAAGCATTCATTCCAAATCTTCTCATCTTTCCTTTAGTGTAGAGCCCAGAACACAATACAATACTCCAGCTGAGGTCTGACAAGTGTTTTATACCAGTTCAACATTACCTCCTTGCTCTTGTATTCTATGCACCTCGTATTAAAGCCCAGCATACTGTCTGCTTTATTAACTGCTCTCACCACCTTCAATGATCTGTGTATATACACACCCTGGGCCCTTCTGCTCCTACACCCCTTTAGAATTGTAGCCTTTATATTATTGGTCCATTATTCTTCCTACAGAGATGAATCACCTCACATTCCCCTGCACTGAACATCATCTGCCACTCTACCAATTTTGCAACATCCTTTGAAGTTCTACGCTGTCCTCCTCACAGTTTCTCCCCCAACACAAGTATTCTGCTGAAACACTCCAACACCTGTAACTAAACTAGTCCAGTCCCTTCCCCCACCCAAAGTGATTGACTTCCAGATGGAATGTGTAAGGAGACCAGCATGATGTTTAACCACTAAATTCAAGTAGAACTTTCACATTGTAGGGTTTCCAGCTGCTGATATCACCACTTCTTCCCCATCAAATATCAAGATCGAAATGTCTCAGACAACATTTTAACACCAAGCCCAAGGTCTTCATAACCTCAACTGAAAGTTACAGGTAACTCAAACAAACAATGAAATAAAATGTTGACTTACTTGTGCTCTAATTAGTTCAATAGCTTGTTAAGTGCAATTATGGTTCTTTCAAATGTTTATTTATATTTTGAATAAATAGGGATTGATTGGTAGATTTGTTCAAGGATCTGTCTTCGCTCTCTAAAAGTCAATTGTGTAACTGAATTCTCCACAGCATACTGGAAACGTGTGTACCAAACTTCCTTGCAGCCAAATGGATTTGAATAACCAATAGATAATTTTAGCTCTGCTCCATTAATGCTGAGGTGGGTCTGGTGAGTTATTTGACAAAATCATATTGCTGCTGAAGTGCATCAAGCACCATGTGCTGAAGTACGGCATGTGTACTTTTTTTCTAAATCCTGTTCCTAAATGTACCTGTTTCCTCCTCGCAAGCTCCTCTTCCTCCTTTCGTTTCCTCTCCTCCTCTTGCCTTCGTAAAAGTTCTTCCTGATGGCGACGGATTTCTTGTCGTTTTCTTTCCTCCTCCTCCCTTTTAGCCCTAATTTCTGCATCCCTCTTTTCTTGCTTAAGCTAAATTCAGAAATTTCATAATGATTACAGAAATTTACTAGAAGATGCTTCTTAAAAATTACGGTAGGAAGATTATACATGTAACTAATGAAACAGATTCATGGTACCACAAGAACAGTTCCATAATCTTATGAACATTACTTTACTGGCATTGTTTAATCTTTCCAGTACATGTTTAATATGTGTCCCTCCATACACACAAAAAGTTATGCATATGAATGAAACAAACTATACTTCACTTTTGATTGAATGAGATTATAGCAGAAGACATTTGCTGAAAGCAAGAACATGCATTTTTATCAATGCCTTCGATATCCTCTGAATAGTTCAAAGTATTTCCATGCACATGCTTTCTTTTGAAGAATAGTTATTGCTGTGTCATAATTTGGCAATGAATTTACACAAAGGCCCCACAAACAGCAATAATCAATGTGATCAGATAATGACACGTATTTTTTTTCCAAACCAGGACATTGCCTGGGCTGGAGACTTTTACTTGAGAGACTGGACAGACAGCTGACTTCCTCGGAGCACAGGAGACTGAAGAGGAATATGATGGAGACGTATAAAATTATGTGGGGCACTGACAGGAAGAAACTTTTCTCTTGATGGAGGGATCAATGTCTGGGGCCACAGATTTAAGGTAAGGGGCAATAGGTTTATAGGGGAAAAGGGGCAAGATTTTTTCACCCAGAAAGTGGATTTAACAGTTAGAAAAACTGAATTCCAAATGGCTAGCTTGTTACCAAGAAATACTTAAAAACAGGTTGTGTGTAAATTTTTTTTAACCTTGGCAGCTTTTCCTCTCTCTATCTGCTGGATTTGCTCGACTGTGGTTCCTTGAACTGGGGCATCGACCGGCAAGTCCCACACGCTACCACCATCCCAACCTGAAAGATTATTCACAGGCATAATTAATAAAAGGAGTATGTTTGCAAAATCAGGAATTTTAAACATTCAACAGTATATTATGTAGTTAAGCAAGAAATGTCTAAAATGACCAACCTCACACAAATAAGACAGGTAAATTAAGGCAGTTCACTTTTGCCAAAAGCAGATTCCACAGTTAGCTGTGAGGGGAATTCAGTGAACAAAACCAGATTGGCAAAGTGATAAAATACAAGTTTTGAAAAAAGGCCAATTAATATCCAATGAGCTGTCTTTTTCTTTCTAATCAACTTCCATTTTCCACGTAACATGGAGCACAGCTTAGGTTTAACAGATTCTGGGGTAACATCCATTGCCATGGAAACATCAATGTTAGGAGTGTATTAGAACAGTGAAGGTTGGAGTTTGATGGAGTCCATAGCAAGGATTTAGCATTTTACAGTAGGGCGTGGCAGAAATAAACGAAAGACAAAGAAAGACAAAGCATACGCATGTTTCAAGAGAAAACGTTCTCAAATCAGTTTCACTACCATAGTAGTTAACTAATCCAAGGCATACAAAATAGGTGATGTTTGGAATTTAATAATCAGCATTATGCAATTTCAGTGGTTTAAATGCAATTCTCAGATTGTGACTAATGCAATTCATACAATTAAAAGACAATTTTTTTAACATCATTTAAACATCTAAAGTGGACTAAAACGTATTATACAGAGGTAAAGTCACCATAATCCCAGAAGGACTGTAGAGCTGCTCTCTTGTTAACCTGATAGTTACTACACTTCAGACAAACGGAGAGATTGAGAAGGAGAGTCCTTCATGGTAACCACAGCTGGTGGTGTTGGTATCACTCTGCAAATTAGCCATCCAGACTACTGAGCCAACTGACACCCTGTGATTTTATGACAATACTGTATTCTAGTAATATCACTTTCCAGTAACAGTCTCAGTTAAATTATCACATACAACAATCCAGACATCAAAATCAAGATGTACACTGTGACTGTGGTGTCATTTCCAGTCAAACATAAAAATCCTAATGATTTTTTAAAAGCTCCAAGGTCATTTACTTTATTAATATTTACCTGAGGGTTGAGATGATGCAGCCTGCAATTCCCATATTGAGGCACTATCAGGCACACTCATGGACCGTGTTGCTGGAGGCATCAGACCTTGCTCTGAGGATCTGTGTGCAGATGAAAGTTGTTTACTTTTTCAGTTGGACTAATACAGTATCAAAAATTGCCAAAGTTCAGTATTAAAAAGTGTTTTAAGAGATAACATTCAATGATTCTATCATACAACAATGAATCCTTTCCAATAAGGAGGTACAAGCAGATGCCAAATCTGATATCTTGTTGACAACTCCATTCAAGGTTCAGCGATTTAACTGGCAGGACATGATTTAACTGAACATTAAATTATCAGATTTTTTTATTATTATTCAAAGTCCAAAAGTCCACTTTGTTAAAATTAGACAATTAGTTACAGATCTTGAGAGACACCATTTTAGATTGAGAGTGGGGCAAAGTAAGGCAGCAGACTTCTATGAACAGCCACTCGGGATTAAATGAATGCCACTGGCATCATTTTCTAGCATACTTTTGCCATCTTGCCACCCGGTTTCTGTCTAGTTCAGTGAAAAAAAATCAATGATTGCACCAATGTAACACTCTACACCTCATAGTTTTGTTCTCAGTGATAAAAACACAACTTTATGGGATCTGCTATACATGTTTAATAAGGATCTTGAATGAATTAACACGATACAATTCCATACCAACTTGGAAGAACCGAGTCTGCTGCACAGTTTAAATTGTCTTTGGTAGGAAGTTAAAATATCCCTGCCTATACATGCATGTCTCATATTTGACACACAGGAATATGATGGCCAATTTCTGGATTTAAAAAAAGGAGCATCTTTGAAGATTTCATAGTGCATTTTCATACTAAGAAAAAAAATTTACCCTAACAGTACAAGAAAACAACCAAGCACTCAAGAAAACAATCCTTAATGTGAAAATTCATCGCAAAGAATTAAATGATAAAACCTGTTACATAAGCTGAGCGACGAAGAGGAGAGATCATGGGAGTAACACAACTGTGCCCTTTCTGCGACAAACAGACAGTATTTTGAATTCAGAGTCAATACAGTGTGGAGCTGGAGGAACACAGATCAAGCAGCATCAGAGGAGCACAAAAGTCAATGTTTTGGGTTTACACCCTTCATCAGGGCTGGGGAGGGGGAAGGAAGCTGGGAAATAAATAGAGGGAGGGGGGGTGGAGGTGGAAGGTAGGTGGGATGGTGATAGGTGGATGCAGATAGGCGGTAGTGGGGATTGGTCAGTGGGAAGGGTGGGGTGGATAGGTGGGAAAGATGATGAACAGGTTGTGTCAGGTCAAGTAGGCAGGGATAAGAGGGAGGGTTAGACATGGGATGAGGCAGGGGGTGGGGAGATTTTGAAACTGGTAAAGTCCACATTGAGACCATTGGGTTGTAGGCTCCCAAGGCTGAATATGAGGTGTTGTTCCTCCAGTTTGTGTGTGGCCTCAATGTGACAATGGTTCCATGAAATTATGACATCTAGGCTTCAAAGCTTTCAACTTTATTTGGAAAAATTATTCATCTTTCAGTTAGGAAAGATTCAGCTATATCATTCTGGTACAAAATGAAATGCATTGTCTTTATTTTCTTCTCCCTAAATATTCACTTTCCACTGAAAGACATATCTATCCCCATCTTTCATTGTCAAGATTCTCTCAAAAGTACTGAATTTTTTTCTGGGTACAAACTCCTCAGGCATGGCACCAAAATTTTCTTATTCATTCATGGAGTCTGAGCATCATCATCTAGATCAGCATTTGTTGCCTGCAGAATACAATGGAGAGCTGCGTTCTTGGGGTGCAAGGACAAAAACAGCAAATTAAGAAGGGAGATTCAGAATTTTGACCCAGTGACAGTGGAGAACAGTAATATAGTTCCAAGTCAGGATGGTGTGGGGTTTGGAGGGGAATGTGCAAGTGGTGATATTCACAGTATATGTTAACCATGTGCTTCCAGTTAGTAGAGGTTACAGGATTGGAAGAAGGTTCTATCGGAGGAGCCTTGGTAAGTTATTGAAATGCATCTTATGTATAATACACAGTGCTGCAACTGGTGAAGGTAATAAGTACTGAGGTGGTAAATGGGGTGCCAATCTCTCAGGCTATTTTATCCTAGATGATGTAAAGCTTTTTCAGTGTTGTTGGAGCTGCACCAATCCAGTCAAGTGGGGTGTATTCCACTCCTGACTTTTTTCATCTAAACTTTAGATAGGCACTGGAGAGAAAGGAAGTGAGAGAAAGGAAGTGCCAGAGAATTCCCAGTTTCTGACCTGTTCCTGGAGCCACAGTACTTACATGGCTAGTCTAGTTCAGCTTGCGGCCATTGCAAACCCGGGGTCGGGGGGGG